AAAAAAAAAAAAAAGAATAATACTGAGCTTTAGTCTAAAACATTTTGGTGATCTCAGTTTGGCAGTTTAACACAGGGTTTGGAACATGGTTGGTGTTCAGTGAATATTTATTGGATGAGTTACTGAATGGTATGGCAGGAGGAACAAAGCACTGCCAATCAGGAAGCTTTGGGGTGGTCCCAGTTCTGCTACTAGTTAGCTGTGGGGGACAGGGTTAATCCCTTCAGCTCTGTGGCCTCCGTTTGGTATAAGGGGGTCAGATGAAATAATTGCAAAGTAAGTTTTTTGCTTAGAAATTTTGCAGTTCTATGAGTTGATCAGATTGCTTTCCAAACCAGGTACTTGAGAACCCCAGAGTGTGAGTGATCATTATGAAAAGCAGCTCTGGCTGAGGTCCCAGGGCTGAGAGTCCTGGAATCCAGCAGTTTGCCCGAGGACCTACCTGGAGGATGGTTGAGGGGAAGAGGGAAGGCAGGTGCAGAAATGGGGATCACAAGAGCGCCCCAGCCAACTTCACTTGCTTGCAAATCGTGCCTCACGCTGGCTCTGACTCAATTTGAATCTGGTTTCTCAGTCACGTAATTTTTTCTGCTGAGTGAATTCTCCTCTGCGGCAAGGTTCTTTGTCCCATAGCGAGAGGCAGCGTCATCTTAGATCCCAAGGCTCTCTGGGACACAGACTTGTGCCTTGAAAAGCCTTCTCTCTCTCCTTAAACACCGATTTCTTAAAACCATCCCAGTTTTGCCAGGCCTTCCCATACACATGCTGTTTGTACTGAGCTTCGCCGGTGGCTCCAATTTTGAGGACTTGATGCAAACGGGGTGGGAAGTCCTTTATTACAATTTCTTGTGCCCTTTCCTTAAGCAGCTGTTCTTTTCCTTCTAACAGTATAAGATGTCATTTGTAGTCTTTGAGCACAAGACAAGACGAATCTCTAGCTTAGGTCATGGTAAATGATAACTACGCACCCTCATTTCTGTGTCAGATGAAACAATCATTTTCCTATGCACATCTCATCCTCATCACAACCCAAGACCTTAGAGCTATGAGGTCCAATTTACGATAGTTCATCTAGAGCTTAAAGTCAACCCTCAACAGTTTACTGAGTAGCTACTATATTGTTGGGCTGAAAAGGTGCTTGGGGAATCCTGAAGTATAACCAACCATAAGACTTTTCAAGAATGAATCATCTTTTTGGAAATAGAACAAATACATGACAATGAGGAAACTAAGGGACATAATAGGTGGCTTATAATCCCGGTAGGGCTTCAGGAAAGAGCTTTACAAATCTATGTGATTTGCAGAGAAATTTTCTTGTGGGTGTTGGGTACGAAATTGGGCTTTCAGCAGTTGTCAGAAAAGAGGAATAGCACTCTAGACACGGGAGTGCGGGGGTGGGAGTGCAGAGGTGGGTGTGGGGGGGTGGTGGTGGTGGAAACAGCCTCAAGGGACTACAGCGAGTAAAGAAAAAGTCACAGGAACGCTGGGCAGCTGTCTAATAGGACTTCTGTGTGTTTTCAAACTCATCTTTCCTCGATATTTCCAGACCCTTCTAAGGCAAGATGCTGGACCGGAGTTTAGGAGCTCCCCGGCACAATCTCAGTCTAGGGATACGAGCCTCTCTTCTTGGAAAATATTTTTAAAGAATTATGGTCCGAGATAACCAGTTTGGATTCCTGGGCCTAGAGCCACATTCCTAGAGCCTTTCCTATTTTAACGGTGCACTCTCTCTTCTTGCTTCTTTCCCTTCTAGCATTTCAGCTTCTATCGGTTGTGGCTCTGAAAGGACTTTGCAGGTGGCAGGACTAAAAAAAATAAAAAATAAATGCCTTCTCCCCCACCTAAAATACCTCTTTAATTTATGCCTTTCCATTATCTCGTATAGCTTTCCAAAAAATGAAACACGTACATAAAGACAAACTACATTCAATATGCCAAGCGGGCCAGGGAGAGACGAGCCTCTTGATCATTAACCAAGGCTCGGCGGAGGAATTAGGTTGTATGATTCGTCGCTCCAGGCCTGGTGAAATAGGTAGTATTTCATTTCAGTCCTTCATGGGCTTCAGGCTGCCAGTATCTGGGCTTTGAAGTGGTTTCACCCTCTGTGATGTAACTGGATCCCCGGCGCTGGCCCTGAAGAGGCAGTTTCTCATAGTCCCTTGTGCCCACACTAGCCGCTGGTGTGTTGCCAGCCCGTGAACCCGATCGCTCTGCCCCTCTGGTTTCCAGCAATTCTCCCCGAGGTCTACATTTCCTGCACTAGATACTCTGAGAGATGGAGATTGCAGTACATTCCGCTTCTGCATGGCAGGTGCTTGCGCGTTTGAGGGGCAGGTGCTGAGACGGGTTCAATTGCTGTGAATTTCAACCGTCCAATTTCACTCTGATTTCAGAGTGACTGCCCTAGGCACCCTCCCCCCCTTTGTTTTGGAGGGGGTTGTTTCTCCACACTGACATGGGGCTTATCTGTCTCTTTAATTTCCATTAAGAACAGTAGCTTTTCCTGGTTGATTATTGAAGGAAATCAGTATTTCAGTAATCAGAATCACAGACTGTCTGCACTCCAAGGGTTTTCCAGAAATTATAAAAACCTGAACTCTCTCTGTCCAGTCTTTTTTCCATGGCCAGTTGTGAGAAACATTTTTTTGTTTTTTTATATTTTTTTAGAGAGAGAAGGAGTGGCGGGGGAGGGGCAGGTGGGGAGGGAGAGAGAATCCCAAGCAGGCTCCATCATGCTCGGCGCAGAGCTGGTTGCGGGGCTCGATCTCACAACCCTGAGATCATGACCTGAGCCGAAATCAAGAGTGGAACGCTTAACCAACTGAGCCACCCAGCCCTGAGAAGGTTTTTATTGAAGATTTTCTGAAAGAGAGAATTAGGCTTTCCACACCTCACTTCACCTTTCAGTAAAACCACACTACCAGAAAGCTGTGTTCTTGGGATGTGCTTTGGCCCCTTACAATGGACGCTTGCACTGAATTTCACCCTGAGGTTGTCTCCAGCCTATGCCGACAGATGATACAGGGAAAGCTGTGTGAAACATATTAGGTTTATTGTAAGGAAGTTTTTGAAAACATTATCTTACATAGTGCCCTTTTTATCAGGATAACAACAACAGAACAAACAAGTATAGAGATGCCCTCATGTCTCAGCATTAGGGAAAATGTGCTTCTCCTGAACTATGGTTTCTTAGGAAAAGCAATTTCTTAGTAGATATCAATACAATCTCATTGGATTGGTCCCTGCTGAGTTGAAATTGTTCGTAGTTTGTACACGTGATTTTGAACTCAAAGTGACTGTGGCCTATCTTGGAACTTATGCTCATGGTACATTCTTTTGCAATATATTGTCAAAAAGCTTTCGGCTGGTTTAAAATCATGGCCTCAATCTACTGCATCAGACCTATAAATGCTCATTTGTTTTGTAACTTCTAAAATAGTCTGGGGTAAGTAGATGGTATTTATTTGAAAATGTCTTGCAGTTTGGGGTTATATTGTGTTTCTTCTGCTATCCACCTAAATTATTTTTTCTAGATCTCTTCACACTAGGTGGCAGAAGTGTCTCATAGAGGAGTTTAACTCCCTAACCAAAGACTTTGATGGCCTCTGGGGGAGGAGGAGGGGGGCAATGAGGCAGTTTTTCACAGTGGACTCTGGCAGGTCCTGCTCTGGTGAAGTAAGTGAATGCGTGGCTTGGGGGGATGGTCTGATTCTAAGCCTGTGGCCCCACACATGTTCTGTCTGTCTCTCTTTTTGTGTCAGAGAGAGACAGAGAAAGAGACGGGGGGCGGGGTGGGGAGAGAGGGAGAGAGAGACAGAGACAGAGATAGAAAGAGGGAGGGAGGAAGAGAGAGAGAGAGGGAGAGAGAAAGAGAGAGGAAGAGAGAGAGAGAATGGAAGGAAAGAAGGGGGAGGGAGAGAGAGAGAGAGAGAGAGTGGAAGGAAAGAAGGGGGAGGGGAGAGAGAGAGAGAGAGAGAAGGAGGGAGGGAAGTGGGGGCAGGGAGAGAGAAAGAACACCTTCTTTTTTCCTTTTACGAAAGTAACCAGAATCTCATTTAATAAATAACAAGGCAGATGAGAAGTCCCAAGCCTGCGCGTGAGGAACTGTGGAAGCCCATGGTCTCTGTCACTGCTGATGTCACTCTCCACAGGGCTGAGAGGTGCCAGGTTAGCTGGCGCTCCTGCTTGGAATTCTGCTCACGTATGGCCTTGGGATAATTTCGGGTTATTCAGTCAGTGTGGGGAGGTGGCACGAGAAATGGACAGAGGGTCACACAGCCTCCTTCTTAGACTTGGCTTTGTCTTGGGCAAGTCACTTAATCTCCTTAATACTAAGTTTCCTCATCAGTGAAATGGGGACAATAATAGCCCTTGTTTCATTGTGTGGTTTTGAGAATTAAAGGAAATAATACAAGGGAAGCGTTTGGCACCTGGGAACCATGCAAGATATGTTAGTGGTCATTGTTTCTTTTTTTTTTTTGATCTTGGGCAAGTCAAACACTGTGAACTTCAGTTTCATGACCCACAAAATGATAGCTTTGAATACTATGAATTCCAAAGGTTTTTGTAGCCTCCGAAGTTGGAGACTTTGTGAGCTGTGTGTGCAGCGTTTCTGTCACTTTTACGTCACTCCTAAGGTCTCCCACATGGTTGTGCACACAATAGTTAATTGTGTGTTTATTAAATGCTTTTTGAATTCTAACTGAATAGAAAATATACTCTTTTAATGTGATTTATTTTACAGATAAGTAGATGATTAAGGCATAAATAATATATTCTATTTTTTCCCTCTTGTTGATTCATTTAATCATTACTTTTAAATATTTTATTTATTTGCTTGTTTGAGGGAGAGAAAGAGAGAGCGAGCACAAGCAGGGGGAGCGGCAGAGGGAGAGGGAGAAGCAAGGTCCCAATGAGCAGGGAGCCCGATGTGGGACTCAGATCATGACCTGAGCCAAAGGCAGATGCTTAACCGACTGAGCCATCCAGGCACCCCTCATTTAATCATTACTTTTAAAATAATGCACGTTTATGGACCAAATCCTTACTACATACCAGGAACTGACTGAGAAGCTGTGAGGGAAAGAAAGCTAAGAGAGAACATGATTCCTGTCCTCAAAGACCTGAGCTCTGGGTGAGGAGGCAGACTGTAATGGGGCCACAAAACTGCAGTCTGCACGGGGTGCCCTTGGAGTACAGGGTGGACATGCCTGTTACAGCAGGGACTCGCAAGCCGTTGGGTGTAGCTGGCCCTGTGTAGAGTGGTAGGAGATGGGGCAACCTGAAAACATTTCCTAGGTCTGGAGTGTGCCTAGGCTATCAGAACAGCCACGTGTGAAGCTTAAATGTGTATAAAATGCTGCATCTCTAATTGTTGGGAATATAATACTGGCTTTATTTTAACAATTTGTTCTAAAAATTCGCTATCATAGAAATGATAATGGGAATAATTGTATTATATTTTATGGTTTATAAAACTTTGACATCAACTTATTGGTTAATCATAATAATAGTTTCTTGCATTTAATGAGCCCATATTATTTCCCAGGTACTGCATTTGGCACCTGTCATTGGTACCTCATTTATTCCTAATTAGAACCCTTTGTATCAGGAACCCAAGTTTACCACTAGGGGGTGCTAAGATGGGGGAGAAACAGATCTACGCTCTGTGAGGTCAAAGAACATTTCTATCCATCTATCCATTATATCTCTAGCCTTTGGCATTGTGCCTAGCATATAGCAGGAATTTAAGTGATATTTCCTAAGTAACTAAATGAAATGACTTGTCCAGGGTGGTAGAACTAGTAAGTAGTGGAGTCAAGTATAAAAGTACTGGATTTTGACAATTTAGATTGGAAATAATCATGGCTAGAGAAAATCTGTTTTCTGTAACGTGGAAGCAAATCAAGCTCAGCATATGTCTTTTTGGCCATAGACCCTTGCCGGAAAAGAATACACTCTTGATAGTCATTTGGTTTTCATTCATCAAGGACGTTGACTCTTTGGTGAGATGGGCTTGAGCCCTACCTAAGATGGCTGGCTGAGTAGGGACTCTTTACCCCTTTCTCAATGAGATCGGTGTGATGAGAAGAGCAAATAGGATGAAATAGGGAACACATCATTCCTGCTCACCTTTTCTTCTCTTAGAGCTAAGCATCTATGACCTTTCACCTTCTGTTTGTGTTGAATTCTGGCTGAAAGGGATTCAGGGAGACTGCTATTCGCTGTAGCAGTGAGAATGTGGAAGCTCCAAAGGTAGAAATAAGTGTTTTATGTGTCTTAAGAAATCTTCTGATTCTTAATCAAACAACCTCTAGTTCAAGGCATTCTATTATTTTTTCGGCTTCTGGTCTTGGAAGTCATTTTAATTGAGGACAGGTCATCAAAAGTTTGGGAAAATGTACATATCTAAAGAACATTTTTTGAGACTTTTCAGCTTACTCTCTTTAAAAATAATAATTTTCTCTGTAATGAACTGGACTGAATAATTCAGCAAATAGTTACTGACTGCTTCCTAAATGCTAGGCCCTGTGTGGGGTGCTGGAGATGCATGGCAAGACATAGCTCTTGCTTTCAAAAATGAAGTGGGAGATAGACCTGGAGGCAGATCGTTGTTGTGCTTGCTGGGTGTGAGACCCTCAGCGGGGGAACATGGAAACGCCTATGGGTGTACAGGGAAGTTGGAAACAGAGGCCCCAGTTAGCTTCCCATCATTGGTGACTTGAGGCCAGGAGAGCGCTGCAGACTGAACTTGTCCCCAGAGTTCTTATGTTGAAATCCTCATGTCTAATGCAATGGAATTAGGAAGTGGGAACTTTGGTAAGGGGACCAGGTTCTGGTAAGGGCAGAGCCCTCATGAATGGGATTAGTGCCCTTATAAGAGACCACACAGGGCTCTCTTACCCCTTCCCCCACATGAGAATACACAGGAAGCCAGCAATCTACAACCCAGAGGAGGGTCCTCACCAGAACTTGACCATGCTAGCACCCTGATCTTGGATTTCCCTGCCTCCAGAACTATGAGAAATACATTTCCGTTGTTTACAAGCCACCCAATCTGTGGCACTGCATTATAACGGCCTAAACTGCTGGGAAGGTAAAGGAGAAGGGAAGTCCTTCTGGAAGGGGCAAAAATCACCTGCTGAATATGAATGGGTGAAGAGTTTCCCACCCCACTGGCAGCAATCTCATACCTCTACCTCATCGCTTTGATGACCAACAGCTCCCAGATTTTATGATCAGATTTAGTACTGTATTATTATGGTTTGTTTTATATTTGCCAGCTGAAAAAGGCTGACTGGAATTGACCCAGGTGGTTCTCAGGTGGAGGAGCTGAAGCTTTCCTCTTCTTCCTCCACTGATGCGTGCACCTCCCACGTTGTCCTCAGACGGGGCTCTGAGGTGCTGATTTCTCTTTGGCCATTTGTCTTGAGTCTGTGATAGTATTCATTGCTTCTGCAGCCTCTTCTTCTGTTTTATTCTCTCCTTGTTTCTATTCTGTCATTCGACCCATGCTGAGATGATCCCATTTTTTTCCCTAAGAAATGTGGCACAAAGGTTAATGCAAACCTAAGCACAGAGACTTTTGGGCAGAACTTTTGAGTATCTCTATCTCCTGTTAGAGATGGAAGGATTTCTGGAGATCCCGAGACCTAGCAACACGTTCAGTAATCTGACCAACTCCATGCCCTTGAATTCAGATTTCAGCTTAGCTTACCAGATGGAACCCATGACCATCAACACACTAGAGCACTATTAAGTCTCACAATGCCAGCATAACAGTGTGTCTCATGATTAGACACGAAGGGCAGGTAGCAGTTATTCAGAAACCCTGAAATGGGAAAGTTAGGGAATTGGGTTTTGAAAATGAGTCACCCAAACATTTTCTTTCCAAACATCTGCAGGTTGTTAGCCTGATTTATTTTGAATTAAAAAATCTTTTTGAGCTGGCTGACAGCTTATTTTAATTCCCAGCTGTTAAAATGTTTCAGCAATTGGAATTAGGGGCTGTGCCATGGCTTTTGATGTGGTGGGAACCAGTTTGGCACTCAGGTATACCTGGGGGACCTGCCCCTCCTCATCATGGTCCTTCAGTTTTATTCCTTCTGTTTAAGAGCTTGGTGCTTTGAGCTCTTTGTTTACGATCTATTTGCTTGGGTCTTATAGCACTGTTGGCCAAGGGAGTTTAGCTCATATTCCAGGATGTGGTGGCTTTTATCCAGCACCTAGCACTTTGTGGCTGCCTTAGATTCTTTCTGGAACAAGTTTGGGGAATAAACAAATACATAAATAGGTTTACATTTAATTGATATCGCCCCCTCCTCTCCCAAAATATGCCAAAATAATTTTTCTACTCAAAGCTATGGTTCTTATAAATGTTTTTAAGATTTCTCTGTAGACTGTTGGCTTGGTAAGGGCTTTTGACTTGTCCTTCACTTTTCTCTGGTTGTGGGTGAGCACCTCTCATTTTTGCTGTGATTTTGGATAGGAAATCTGGCGACTCGGTCTCTTCTCTCCTGATCCCAGCCACCACAAACAGTAACACCACCACCTCAATCTACTACTAACAATGCCACCTACAACTGCCACCACCACCAAGAAGTCATTCCTTGGCCCTCCTAACTCCCCTAGCATAGCATCCTATTATTCATATTACTTTTATTGTCTAGCTCCCC